CTCTGAAATTGAATTAATGCATGCTTATCACCTTTATTAGATTGCACATTCCTAATAGGGATAGAAGTTAATTGATATTCTAATTCAAAATCGTGGCACGGGAATAAATCACTAGAAAATAAATCACTGAAATAAAAAAATTAAACTTTTTTTATTTCAGTGATTATGATTTGATTACATTAATATCTTAGTAATTGATTCAAGGCAGAAATTATTGTATTATTAATTAGCATAAGATTTTTTACGAGGAATTCAGAATTAAGCCATTCCCATCTGTACTTGAAAGGAATTTGACCACTTTCACCTAACAGTGCATGAATAGGGGTAGATCTCAAACATCCTGTTATGATACGAATACTCTTATATTGTAATTTATCTAACCTGTTGCCTTAGGACAATCTGATAATAGTTGACATTATAATCTAAATGACTCTGTATCAAACCATTTTGAACTATCTAGAGAGTTTTAGGATCACTATCCCAATATATTCCACATAGAGCTCTCATTACATTTAAGCTACTACTTACTTTTAATTCTGTTAAATCCACATATGATTTCCACTTAAGGTTTTTTTGAATAACTACCCCTAAATATTTCACAGTATCCATTCATTTAATTGAATGACCTCTATTCTCATATTCAAAGGATTAACTTTACGATTCCTTTTTTGAAATATAATTGCTAAAGGCTTGTTGTAAGATAGATTAAAGTTGTGTTCTAATAACCAGAGATCCATCGTTTCCATTCAAAGAATCAATTAATTTAAGTAGATCAGCCCCACTAATCAAAATAACCAAATCATTTGCATACTGTATCAGATTACAATCGTTGGGAATAATCTCATATAAAGATAGGGAATACAGATTTAATAACATTGGACTTGGAGGGGAGCCCTGAGGTAAGCCCTGACTAGTTTTTCTTGGACCAAGAATTTGACCAGTTTTGTCCTTTACATAAATACTACGATCATTAAAAATAGAATAAATGACATTTGCTAGTTGAATAGGAATGTTACATTTATTTAGTTTAGAGTATAAAAGAGAGATGTTGACACTATCATAAGCTGCTGAAATATCTAGACAAGATACTACAGTAAATTAATTTAATTCAAAATTCTTGTAGTATTTTAGAATTTAGTAATGAAATGCATTCATTAGATATCTTAATTAGATATGTTCAACATATCCTGTTTAAGCATGTCATGTCATGTCAAGTTGTGTTTAATATTTCTCTTCTACTTGCAAGAAGATTACAATCAGCGATGCTTCTTATTGGTTAATTACTACCGACGACGGCGTTAATCGTAACATAAACATCTTAAAATATTCTCCAATTTTTGTATAAATTAGTGCCACTTGCAGGTTTCTACTTACAAATTCATTCTTTTGTCTAATTGTAATTTTTTGGTTTTTTATGTTTGGCAATTTCCTATATTCTTTTTAATCCATCCTTCTTGAGAGCTCATCGTATAGATTTTTATAGGCTTCTAATTTAGCTTAGTTTTTTTCGGTCAAATAGCCGTTATACCATCTCTATTTTAATAGACTTTTATTAGCTAAAAACTGTCTTCGAAAACTAAAAGGAAGTTTTTTTTAAATATACCATGGCTCCCAAACAGATTTTTAGGGATTTATACTGTATTCTATTTAGAGGTTAGGTTTAAGTGGGTTAGTGTCAAAGCTAGAACTATAGAGAGTACACCCATAATCCCATACCAAAAACCTTGTGATTTTATTCCAAATATATTTAAGTGGAGTATTTCTATTTAGTTTGCTACAAAAGGATCTAAAACTTATTTTTCGTTTTAATTTTAAAACATTTCTATCTTCCGCTATGCATCTTTTAGTATCTATATAGTTTTCAACACTAGGAGAATTTTTAAATGTATTAATTGCTGAAACTCTCTTTTGTATTATATGAGCACATGAATCATCTCACCATGCAATGTGATATTTGTTGTTATGAGAGGAGTTCCAAGGAATTGATGTGTCTGCCACTGATGGTATATATTTGATAAATTTTTTATAATCCTCAATTGGAAACGATGAGAAAATAGACTCTAGTTTTTCATGGAAAGAAAACCAATCAGCCATTTGAAATTTCTTCTTTTAGAAACTTGATAAGTGTCTTGTGTTTGGATACCGACATGAAATAGAATGGGAATATGATCACTAGAATCTGCATCTGGAGTGGTAGTCCATCCACTAATTTTAGGTGTCACATATTTCGAAGGCAATGATAAGTCAACTACTGATTTTCTGTCACCAGGACGAACCAATCTTGTTGGAGAACCATCATTAAGAAAAATTAACTAAAGATATTCTATAGTTTGCACAATATTTCTACCATTAACACTATCTCTTAAGCTTCCCCATGCTCTATAATTACAATTTAAATCACCTATGATAAGTAGAGATTTGTTGATCGAGTTGACCAAAGAAGACCAGCATGTTCTGAAAATAAGATTGTCCAAAGGACAATACGTATTTAATATATTTAAATTTAACTTAGGTAAAAAGTTGAGTTAAAATTGAACATCTAAATTAAAACCAGAATTGTTAATATGAATATCCCGAAAATCTATATTGTATTGGATAATGGTAATTAAGCCCCCGTATCCATCACCTCGATCATTTCTGATAATGTGATACCCCCTTCATCTGATTGTGTGTTGGTTAGATAGCCAAGACTCATTAATGAAGATAATATCAGGGTTATAGTCTTTAATAAGGACTTTTAAGTTATCAACATTGGTATTCTAAGATCTTACATTCCATTGTATAATAGTTAGTGGGGCGTGATAATTGAAAATATAAAATGTTAAAATGGGTCCTCAGACCCATTTTATGGAGATAAAATCATGGAGATATCTCCATTTCTCCTTGCTCCTAAATAGTCCTTATAGCATTCTGTGATACACTTTTGTTTTTATGCTTACCAATCTCTACATTTAATCCAACATGATCCTTAGGAGAACTATAATTTTTAATAATAAATTTATCAATAAACGTCATAACCAACTCCCTGTGATTTTGATTAAGCATTAATATAGCCTGATTTAAATCTCTTTTGGTCTCAGAGATATTGATAAAGTGACTAGGAGATTCTTTGGGAGATCTCCCATTAAATTGTTCAATACTTTAGAGTGAGAACTTTAATCAAAGCCTATATTTAATGGTCTTTTCTTTTTTTATGAAGTGGATCTTGAAATCAGACTGTAGGAAACAGAATTCGAAGACGGGGATGTAGCAACTGATCTTCTCTCTTGAACTGAAATGCTATTTGCAGAGGATAGATTATATACAAGATTAGGAAAATCCTTAATGTTTAACTTTGGGCTAGATGTTTCCCTTGGAATGGTTTGGTCAGCTTCATAATTGGCATAGTTGGCAAACGACATGAGTTCTTTAATGCTCATTTGTCTTTTTCTTCCTTTACATTCAGGATGTCTAGAGTCATGATAGGATGTTTCACAGAACATACTAAACCTACTGCACCCTACAAATGAGAGAGAATTATGATTTGCACCACATGTAGCACATCTGTTTTTTCCCTTGCATTGAGAAAGAGAATGTCCATATAAAAGACAGTTATGACATTGGTGAACTGGACTAACAAAGGGTATCACCCTTATACGCAGACCATAAATTTCAATTTCTTTGGGGATATTTTTCCTGAAAAAGTTAAACAGATAGTACCTGTAGGGATGAAAGTAGTTTCTGAATTATCTTACATATCCCTTCTATTCATTCTTTTAACAGAAATAACTCTACAAAAGGGTAGATTAGTAGAATTTGACATTTTAATTTCCTCTTCGGACAAATATTTAAAAGCCCCCTGACAATACCTTTACAAGAGATAAGATGAGTGGGAATGAAAACCTTATAACCTAATTCTTCCCAGTCCTTCCTAAGGATAAGCGAATTGGCAGATTGTCTGTTATTATTTCCCTTTCTATCAAACTTAGCAATCTCTTTCAATTTTAAATTAAAGATAGCCTTAGCAATACTTAGAATATTTTTACCCTAAAAAAACACCTCAAATCCGATGCAGTATAAAATCCATTTTTCTTTTAATGTTTAGTTTTTCTATTGCATTGTTTTGAAACAGATTTTGACTTATATATTAGGGTCGGGATCTGGTGCCGGTTAGGAGGAATTTGGTCCTCCATAATGGCGAACGTTAACTAAGTATAAATCTACCAAAACTTTTAGATGTGGTTTGACTATATAGAAGATTAGGAAATATGTAAAGGAATAAGATCACAAAGAAAATGTTAGTAAGGCATAACAATATGGGTTTCGTTATATATGAGATATATCTCAAATAACATCTCTACTTCATAGAATAAGTCTTTTTGCCTCTTCGTTTTCAGAAAATTTAGCGACAATTCAACTACAAACCCGAAAGCTTTTCATTCTATTAAACATCGGTATAATATAGTCTTTCTGTATTTTGTTACACATTGGCTAATCCAGGGTCGCAACTCTACTACGATAAGTGATCACAAACAATAAACAATAACCCTCTATAAAGTATTTTTAAATACATCAGAATTTCCAATATTATCTAGGCAAGGGCATTTTAATTAAATAGTTTTCCTTTTAATTTAAATTTCCCAATCGATATTAACCAGGTGAACGGATATTGAAAATTAGTTCAGGCATTTTTATGCGATTTTATGTTATTAAAAAGGTAAAAAACATTCTTTTTATGTATAAAATTAGTATTTCTTCTTTTATGTACAATAACGAAATATATCCAGTAAAGCTTGTTTTTGTGTAAAATGTGTAATTTTCATAAAATTGAATACAATCTCAAATTACAGCAATAATAAAATTGTATATTAAAATGGAAAATTATATATAACAATATATACCGATCTCTATTTTAGAAGACAGCGAAATAAAAATGTAATATTTAGTAAAAATATTATATTAATTATCTATTTTCTTAATTATTATATTTGTCTTATATAGTTTAAAATATTTTATTGCAGACCCTTGCAAGTCCTCCTCGACGTCGAGTTGGAACAAGTTCGTTTCATGCCCCGCATAGCTCCGTCATTACCTATAGATGCCGAAGCTAGTGATCCAGCCTACGCTATGGAACACGCCAGTGAAAACTTTATTACGTGTGAAGTGATGCTAGGTACAACGACAACAGAGAGCTATAGTGATTTTAGTGCTAACGACATCCAATATGGGTTTGAAGAGGATCAACGAAATAGGGTTTTACGGACTTATATTCGAAACGCGTACGTTTACCATTTAAACGAGATATTCTCGGCTGTGAAAAATGAATACACGGATTGGGACAAACCTATCCAACATCCGATTAATATCCGAGATTCTACGATGGAGGCGCTAAGTGACGGACATACTGTGTCTCCATTAGTGCGTGTCGCGTATCTCCATGCGAGGAGAGGTGCTAAGACTTATTTTTTTCATTTCGGTTATCAGACCAAGGACAGTGACTATCCTCAAGTAAGTTTTTAAAATCATTTTACCTAATAATATTTTGGAAAATAGGTCTAATTAAGCAAAACTAAGGTATCTACAAAGTAATAGTTTATTGGACAAAACACTGAAGCAGACTAGATTATTATTCACAAAATTCCTACAATTTTAAAGCTCAAAACGTTCCGTTTCTGCGTCAACCTTGTATGTACACTTTTTTTATTTTTGTTGTTGAGTTGATAATGTTGTTGTAAACGATAACCTGCGTGCCTGGAAATAACTTGTAACGGCTATTATTAGCCTTTAATGGTATAAAATGTATCATGTCAACCTCATAACTGCCCTGCTTGAATTAAGTTTCTGCTCCAAACTCGTAACTACTGATAATAAGTTTCCCGCCTTTATTCTGCCAAACGCATATAAAACGCCAATAAACACTTTTATTTGCGATAAACGTTAGGCATGGTAACAAAGTGTTAGGCACAGTAACAAACTTATTTTAGACGATAAAACAGGTTTGTTTTTCGAAAATATTATAAATAGTTATGGTAACTGTTTAGATAATCGTGATAGTGATTCCTCAACGTCATATCATCCTGAAGCCTCCGTTTATGTAAATGAAGATTCAAGTAGTTCTGAAGATATGAACTGTAGATTAAACTTCGGGCAAGCGCGCCCTAAATAATTACATCATCAGGCGCGCCGCAGCAATTTGCTGCCATGTAGTTTCTTATTGTTTTCGACACTTTTAATTTTTGGTTAACTGTATCGTTATTTGTTTTGTCAAAAAATAAAGACCGCTTTATTAATTTAACTAATTTTAATAAACAGTACAGAAAAAAACTTTTAATTTATTTGATCATTACAATTAATACATACAATATTAGTTTTAGAATGTCTTTTACAAGTGAATGCACTACATTGTGTACATTTTATAGAGGTATACGACTTGATTTTTCACTGTAACAATTGCAGCATCTACCACGTTTAGCAGGATTTTCGTCTTCTTGATGGGGTACTGGTTGCTTCGGAAACATCCTGGACAGGAACTCGGTTATACACGCGAAAGTGTTTTAATTTGTGATCGTGTATGAAGGTGTTCTTTCGTCAAGTTCATTGCAAGGTTTTTGAGAAAATGTCTCCTTTTCAGTGATTTTTTAGAATTAGCCGCGGAATGTAGAACAAAAGCATTTATGCCTCCAATATTCATTAAATTATAGAATTTGACCCACGTCATCTTTTACTAATTCGTGAAACTCATCCTTTTGGCGAATGGATTTAGTGTCCGCAGTCATTTAAACACAAACAAAACTCATCCTTTTGTTTTATTGTAATCTGAAATCAACTGTGATTTCTTAGTATCCATGTCAACTGTACTTTCGTTGTGCATATACGATAATAATATGACTGACTTACTTTTACGCGGCACGTAAAAGGTAATCATATAATATTTTTTGAAATTCAAATATGCTAGATTTAACTCCCCTTTATTTATGTGAAAAAAATTCTTGAGGAATTTCTCTTTTGTTTTTCTTCAGCATCCCAAGCAGAATAACTTTCTTCTGTCGCAAATATCTAGCTAACGGAATACTAGTTTAAAAATTATCTGTTGTTATGTTTCTTCCTGTCATTTCTACGCACTCTATTAGACGTTTTACAACGTCAAAGGTCGAATTTGATACGTCGTATGGGCCACTTGCCTGTTTACCACAATATATCTCTACATTGGCGGTATAAAATGTTTGAGCATCACATAACACGTACATTTTTATCCCGTACTTACCAGGTTTGTTGGGTATATATTTTATCCAACTACACCTACCTCTAAAGGGATGGAGCATTTCATCATTTGCTGTATACTCTGACAAATTTTATGAGTTTTGACAATTTTTCATAAATCTGTCAAAAAAACGATCTAATGGCCGACAGCTTGTCTATTTTACTTTATCATTCCTTGTATGGTTATCATCAAATCTCAGTAAACGTGCAATAAGTAGGAAACGTTTGTAGCCCATTACTGCTTGAACAATATCAATCCCTGTGCCATCTTTTCCCAAAGTTTCATCACATTTGTGTGATTGCCGTGCTTTATGCCAATCAAATAGAGGAGTCCAAAAAAGGCCAATAACTCACTCCTGTCCACACTCCTGCAATCTCTATCTCTCAAATATTGCGTTTTATCCCTATGTTCATTTATATATAAATTGGTAAAAATTATAATTTCATCAACCATATCAATATTGATAATAGTAAAAAACGCATCAATTTCTGTTTTGATTTGACATGCAGTTCCTTTTAATCCCGGTGGTCCTCTCATTATATTTTGTTGCTTTGCCTTAGATATAGCAAAAGAAGTTTTATATTACTTACTTGTTTTATCCTTGCCAATGAATGTGTCTTCAACGTTTTCGTAAAACACTTCCTCCTCATCTGACATATCTTACTCTGAACATGTATCGTCGTGGTTCTCCTCAATTTGTTGTTCATCCAAATCACTATCACTTTCCAATATTTCATCTGTTTCATCTTTAACATCTATCATATTATTTAGAATTTCCTCTAATTGTGCTTGGGTTAACACTTCCTTTGGATTTTCACGAGACATGGCGTAATCTAAAATTATAAATTATGTAAATAATAATGTTTCATATATATTATTAATTCTTATAAATAATTATATTAACAATTTTACTTACCAATAAAATTTCAATTTCTCGAAAACGATATATAATATATTAGTTATTTAAAAAAAATGCGCGAATTTCACTTCCAGGCGCCTTGCAGCAATTATCTGCCTCGATGTACTAATCACAATAAAGTACGATAACTAACTAATTGGATTTGGATTTCACAAGACGATGATGGATACCGACTAAGGATTAACCGATAAGGGAATTTTAAAAATATCACGTACATAGCGCATCTCGTTAACACTTTACCTGGAAATATTGAGTTTATGCAGCAAATTACTGCGGCGCGCCCGGCTGAAGGTTAAATGAAACTTCTTGCTTGGTTACAAGGAATAGAAGAAGGAAAGGACAAGGAAACGAGGACAGCTGGTTAAAGAACAAAAAGAAAAATGCTAGACAAACAGGTAAATAATATTATAATTGTAAAAGGGTCAAAAGTAAAAGAACTGGATTAGAGAAAAGAGAAAAAGAAGACTTTAACCAGCATGTGACTAACAAATGCAAAAAGAGTAAATATTTTAGATGTGATGAAATATCAGAAGCACAATGAAAATTATTGTTTCATATGTTTTGGAACAATTTGATTTGGGAACAACGTAAAGTAATGAAAATAAAGCTTGTCAAAAGATGCCCAGTGGCAAAACGCACAAAAATAACACTGACTTTAGACGTGGAATATCTCTTAACTATAATTTAAAGATTTATAATGAACTAGTACCTGTTGGCAAGTAAATGTTTGCCAATACATTTGACTTAGGTGAATGGTCAATTCTCAACTAAAATAAAAAACCAAATTTGGGATTCTAAAATATGTTAAAACATCAGACTCAAATAAGCAATCCAGTAAAATAAATTAACAGAAAAGAGAACATATTAAAAACTTCCTAAAAAGTGTATCACAAATGGATGATTCATATTACTGCTGACAAGTAAGAAGTATCTTTAGAGAAATTTATAACACTTATGTGCAGTTTTTGATCATCATCAGTGGTGCTACAGCTCTAGTTGAGCCTTGACCTTCCCCAGTCTATTTCGCCAGTCGTTTCTGTTCATCGCCAACCGTTGCCAATTTGCCGCGCCGATTTTCCTTGCGTCCTCGTCCACACCGTCCCTCCATCTCAGTCGTGGTCTGCCTCTACTCCTATTTCCCACTGGGACCGATAATAGAGTTCGTCTGGGTGGGTAATTTTCAATTGCTCTTGACACATGTCCAGCCCATCTAAGCCTACCTATTTTTATGAAGGATATTATATCTCTACCATTTACTATTTTTTTATACTTCTCGTACAATTCGAAATTATATCGCCTTCTCCAAATACCATTCTCACAGAATGCGCCCAGTATTCTTCTTAGTATCTTCCTTTCGAAGACGAGCAGCAGATTTGCGTCTGTTTTGGAGATGGTCCATGTTTCTGACCCATATGTCAGCACTGGTAGGATGAGTGCTCGATATATTATTAGTTTGGTTTTCTGGCTTAAATTTCTGTTTTTTAGCTGCTTGCTTAGTCCAAAATAACATTTGTTTGCTAGCAGTACCCTCCGTTTAACTTCTTCAGATGTGTCACTATCGTTTGTTATGGGAGAACCCAAATATGTAAACTTATTTGCAGTTTTTAAAGGATAATAATATTACTTCAAGTGAACAAGCATCTTATTTATGTTTCTTAAAAATGGTTCGCTCATTAACTATATGCCTATATAAGCCTTAAGAGAATCAGTGTGATCTATGTTTTAGTTTCAAAAATAGTAACATTAAACAAAATATACATGATTCTCACATAAACGAAAAAGACAGGACCAGAAAAGAAAAGGAAATAGACAAAGAAAAGGCTTTGAAAGATGAGATTAATGCTTATACTTTGGACGTCCAAGCAGTACAATTGGTAGCTCACATAGCTGCAAGTGCACAGTAATTTAAACAAAAATTGGCTGTGCATCAGTTTACAATTTATAATTTGAAAAATTATTAAGTTCTTTGCTATATCTGGCATGAGGATGAAGGGGGTATATCTTCAAATATTTTTACCTCTTGTGATTCACATTTTTTGGAAACCTATGTAGATTTAAGTCTTCATACTGTACTATTCACTGATGGTTTCAGTACACAGAATCGCAACGTTAACTTGTCTAATGCATTACAACTCATTGCCTCGAAATACCAAGCAATTATTTATCAAAAATACCTTACAGTTGGGCATAAATTAAAACCATTGGTTTTAAAAGTATATATTACAACTGTTATATTAAATTGTATTTACCCAACACCTTCGGATAGAAGGGTTATTGATTATATATATATATATATATATATATATATATATATATATATATATATATATATATATATATATATATATAGTTTGAGTTTAGTTATATATTTTTTAGTGGATTCTCTTGGGCTTAGGTTCATAAAAATAATTTTAGTTTGATACTAAGACATTTTTATATATAAAAAAAAAAAAAAAAAAAAAAATTATATATATTTTTTCCGACGTTTCGGCAGGAAGTCCATGCCTTTTTCAAGAATATATATTGACTAAAAAAAAAACATTCTCTGACAGACATAATATGGTTTTAAGAATAAGCTTTTGACTTACCAAGCATGTAAAGATTTGGTGTTAACAATTAGACGTCACAATTAAAATAATATTAGAACATAGGACATACCCACTAAGTCACTACAAGTAAAATGTATTTTAAATCTAATGTGTTGTTTATTGATATTAGCTTATCGTTTAAACAATCAGTTATTTTAACATCATAGGCGTTCTGAGATTGACTTTTTATGTATATTTAAATTAAGTTAAAATATATTTTGTTCAAATTTTTGACATCTTTTTTATCATTTATTGCGTTATTATTTTTTTTTATTTGTATAGACTCTAGAAGCACTCTCTTCTTCCTGTTGGGTTCACTTTTTAGGATCTTGGTTTGCTCAAAATCAACTTTATGTTTTTTTTTTTCGTTTTCATGTTTTGTGAGGGCAGTTGAGTTTTTTTTGTCATATTTGTGGGAACATATTCTTGAATTAAGTAGGTCCTGGTTTGTCCAATATAAACTCTATCACAATTCGAGCAGGGAATTTCATATAAAACATGTGATCTTTTTAATAGAGGGGTTTTTGTTTTTAATCTTGTAAAATTCCTTTTCAAAAGATTGTGATCTTTATGAGCAACCGTAATATTATGTTTAGACAGAAGATTTGCTATTTGTTCTGATAATCCTTTTATATAGGGGAGAGACATATAGCTTTTCTTTACCGTGTTGGTTTTATTATTATTATTGTTATTGTAAAATTTATGCAGTTGCGATTTGAAAGTGTTGTCGATAAGGTGGTGTGGGTATGAATTAACTGTAAGTGCTGTTTTTGCTTTTTTAATGGCCTGAGGTCTATTGATAGGATCGGATAATCTAATAGCTCTATCAGCGAGTCCGATAACTACTGATTTCTTTTGAGACAGGGGATGATGAGAGTTGAAATTTGGATATCTCGACGACCAGGTTTTTTTGGTGTACCATGAAGTAGTTATAGTGCTGTTTTCTCTATGCAAGGTCAGGTCCAGAAAATTGATTTGATTATTTTTTTCAATTTCTAATGTGAATTTTAGTTTTTGGTGAAAGTTATTGAATTCATTTAGTAAATTATCCATTTTATCTTCTGATGCTGCACTCAAGCAGTCATCTATATAGCGATAGAAAAAAGGTATATCAAAATCTATTTTATTTAAAACAATTTCTTTTAGATGGATTTCTTCTAGATAGATTTCTTCTTCTGGACCTGACCTTGCATAGAGAAAACAGCACTATAACTACTTCATGGTACACCAAAAAAACCTGGTCGTCGAGATATCTAAATTTCAACTCTCATCATCCCCTGTCTCAAAAGAAATCAGTAGTTATCGGACTCGCTGATAGAGCTATTAGATTATCCGATCCTATCAAGAGACCTCAGGTCATAAAAAAAGCAAAAACAGCACTTACACTTCTCTCGTCCTGTACGGAAGTAAGCGCCAAGCAGATCACCACCGCAGTGTATCTCATTCCTACCCCAGCCGGGCCCAACCATAAACAAAAAGGTAAGTGAATCTCATATAGAATTGACAATAAGATATAAAATCTGCCAATTGTTATTTGAATTCATTTTATTTTACATATATTTGCTACAAATATTCGCTATTTTAGCTAATCTTATATACAATCTAATATTGCATTTTTTTCGTTAAACTTATTTATTCAATATAATTTAAACCAGCGACTACTCAAGTTTAATTACTAAACACACTTAATTCATACCCACACCACCTTATCGACAACACTTTCAAATCGCGACTGCATAAATTTTACAATAACAATAATACTAATAAAACCAACACGGCAAAGAAAAACTATATGTCTCTCCCCTATATAAAAGGATTACCAGAACAAATAGCAAATCTTCTGTCTAAACATAATATTACGGTTGCTCATAGAGGTCACAATCTTTTGAAAAGGAATTTTACAAGATTGAAAACAAAAACCCCTCTATTAAAAAGATCACATGTTGTATATGAAATTCCCTGCTCGAATTGTGATGGAGTTTATATTGGACAAACCAGTCAACTACTTAATTCAAGAATATGTTCCCACAAATATGACAAAAAAAACTCAATTGCCCTCACAAAACATGAAAACGAAAAAAAAAACATAAATTTATTTTGAGCAAATCAAGATCCTAAAAAGTGAACCCAACAGGAAGAAGAGAGAGCTTCTAGAGTGTATACAAATAAAAAAAAATAATAACGCAATAAATGATTAAAAAGATGTCAAAAATTTGAACAAAATATATTTTAACTTAATTTAAATATCCATAAAAAGTTAATCTCAGAACGCCTATGATGTTAAAATAACTGATTGTTTAAACGATAAGCTAACATCAATAAACAACACATTAGATTTAAAATACATTTTACTTGTAGTGACTTAGTGGGTATGTCCTATGTTTTAATATTATTTTAATTGTGACGTCTAATTGTTAACACCAAATCTTTACATGCTTGGTAAGTCAAAAGTTTATTTTTTAAACCATATTATGTCTGTCATAGAATGTTTTTTTTTTAGTCAATATATATTCTTGAATATATATTCTTGAAAAAGGCATGGATTTCCTGCCGAAACGTCGGAAAAAATATATATAAAAATGTCTTAGTATCAAACTAAAATTATTTTTATGAACCTAAGCCCAAGAGAATCCACTATAAAATATATATATATATATATATATATATATATATATATATATATATATATATTATATATATATATATATATATATATATATATATATATTAAAATTAAATTTTAATCAGTAATGGAATTCTTAAGTTCTAATTTTTTTTTTATTTTGCAGCGTCTGGGTAGCATACGAGGTGAAGACCTTATCTATATTTTGGGCTTACCAATGGTCGGTGGAATGCCCCACTTTCCCCAAAACTTTAGTAGACAGGACTTGGGTGTTGCGGAAGCTATGCTTAACTTCATAAGCAATTTCGTGAAAAGTGGTGATCCTAATGCTCCGTCGCAAGGTAATAAGGACACTGTTCCACCGGATTATGGAACTACCCGGGAGAAAACGCGGTATAAAGGTCTTGTGTGGGATCCTTACGAGATAGGAACGCAATTTTATCTTAGTGTCAGTAAGTACATTTTTCACGTTTTAAATATAAAATTTTATTAAAATTATAGAATATATATACACTTCATCTAATTTATATACCGATGCACGTCATCGGCGTCATAGCCTGTGACGTTACATGATACCAACACAAAATATTTAGGGTGTAGGTGTGTTCTTTTTTAGAATCACTTTACCGAGTACACTGGCATTACAGCCACTAGACATATTTGATTATATACGCGTAGAAATTATATTTAAAAATTTCTATTAATGTTAACTTAAACAAATACACAATAATATGTTTCATTTAATTTGTATAAATGCATTATAAAGCGTTTTTATCAAGAAAATTTGTTCGGAACACACTGTAACTGTAATTGAACAAAGCTAAAATTTTGGCATAAATTGGTAACACTTATTTGACAGTTGCGGTGTTGACACTTTTTGTACTTCATTATTTTGAATTTTAAAGTGAATATCTCTTGAAGTAACTTTTTAATAAAATCTGTTCTTTTTAGAACAAAATTAATGTGTTTTATTTCAAAAATGTCACGTAGGAATTTAACTAGTCGTTGTAAAGAGATGGTAATACTTTTGCAATAATTATGTAATCTATTTGATTTAAAATGAAGTCAGGATTTTTTTTATACTTTGTCAACTATGTCAACTTCGATCTCTGACGTAGATAATGACGTATCTAAATTAGATGAAGTATATATATATATATATATTATATATATATATATATATATATAGATTTATATATGTAAATACTTTTTTCTTTTTGGGTGTGGTAGTCAATAAAAAATAGAGCTTTGCTAAGGCGTACTATTTATTCTGAAATCCGAGCTTTCGGTGGTTGTTTGCCACCTTTATCAAGGTCTACAATGAAAATTACTGTGTTATAAAATTAGGCTGATGTAATATAAAAGTTATAAAAACTTACCAGAAAGTAAGATTCATAGCATATAAAACACAACGTTAAATAACATAATATGATCTGAATTACTGAAGGCATTAAAACTTAAAAACTTTAAAATAACTTAAACATTAAAGAACATGTTACAAAGTTTAAAAGGTAAAAAATAAGACGACATGTTTGACAAAAAACAGTCGTCTTCGCAGGTTTGAATTCAGTCACATCTCACGAACAGAAAGAGGTAGTAGGAGGAACTATTGTTGTTTAAATAGTTCGATGTAGGTTTTCTTTTTTGTTATTTTTCATGATTGTTGCTACAACAGCAATATTCAACAATAACAATATTTTCTTTTCTTTGGTTGACATCCTTCACCCTTTTAATAACCATAAATAGTGTATATTTATTTATTATATTATTTACTTTAGTACTTAATTATATTTATTTAAAATAAAATAACCTCAAATTGATAAATATTTTCTCTGTTGGCAACAATGAAAGTGGGATCTAAAATTGCACAGAAATATCTCTGATGTAAAAACGTCAAGCTGGGCAAGAGATGTGCCATGCAAGACGGACTTGCATAGCATGAGACTTGCATAGCCTAGATGTAAAGCTGCCTTTATAGATATGGACTGATGCTCTTTTCTAAATACAAAACGAAACGATCAAGATATTATTTTAAAGGACACGGTAGAAAAAGTAGTGTTATGCATGTCCAGAAGCTCAACGACCAAAATGAAGTGCAGCAGTCGCAATATACCTCATGGTGGTTAATGTGTTAACGTTGCAGTGTTTTTATGTTTTAATAAAATACGAAGCATATAATATATGAATTATTTACATTTTTGACATAACAATATTTAGGTACTTACTACTTTAAAAGTTGATACTAGCTGATAATTACTTTTAAAATTATTTCTACAAATTAGAAAACTCTTCATAATATGGTGTTTTGTAGTTTCGTGCTGGATAAAGTTCTGATAAGCGGGAACACAATGAAAATGTCACGAAGTTTGCTACTAAATATGGAGCGTCAACATATTTTCCAGAAACAAGAATTACGTGACATAACTTCTGAATTAAATAAAAGCTCATACAGTATCTGACATTCGCGCCAGCAAAAACATTAAATGGGAAGATTAAAATGTGGTTGTATTACCAAGGAAATAAATTGCATATAATGAAAAAAGCAGAAAAATAATCTACACTAGTATCAGAAAGTATTTCAGTAATATCTGGTTTGGTTAATTTTGTATAATATTATCCAAATATTTTAATGTTAAGTGATTTACTGTGTATATTATATAAATTTAAGTTTTTGGAGTACCTTGGTGTTTCGTCTATGATATTTTAAGAATTCTGCTTAAAGTTCAGTTCTCAAATGCTTCTATAATTATATCTATAATGCTATCTATATCTATAATGCTTATAGTTTCTTTGTTATTGTTCCAAGCGAACAATATATTATAAGGTTTCATCTTCTTCTTTAAGTGCCGTCTCCCAATCTGGGGATGGATATCATTACTTTATCTACTGCTGCTCTAAAGAGTTTTATAGAACTGCATTTAAACTAGTCCCTTTAATTCTTCAACCATGATACTCTCCTTCTTTCTATACTCCTTCTTTCTCTTATCTTTCCCTGTATTATCAGCCTTAGCAGTTTATATCGCTGTCCTATCATTAAGTGTCCCAGATATTGTAACATTCTTATTTTTATTGTGTTTGTTACTTCGAATTCTTTGCCCATTTCTCGCAATACTTCCGTATTAGTTTTCTTCTGTATACATGCTATTTAATCATACTCCTGTAATACCACATTTCAAAGGACTGTAACTTATTTATGTGTTCTTGCTTCAATGTCCAGCTTTCAAGTCCATATTGCAGTATCGAAAACACGTAGCATCTCAGTGCTCTTACTCTCACTTCTAATCTAAGACCTTTGTTGCAGATAATTGTTTTTATTTTTACAAATCCATTTCTTGCTTTTTTATCCTAGCTCTTATTTCGGTTGTTTGATCATTATTATCTGAAATCCAGGTGCTCTTAGACTGCTTAAACAAGAACTTGATAAAATGAAAGCCGATGTAGTAGCGATTCAAGAGATGAGATGGACTGGTTCAGGAATCATCGAGAAAAGAGACTACAATATATAGCGGACATAGCAGCCGACACGAGTTTGGCAGTGGTTTTCTAGTCAGTAAAAAAGCAAAGCAATTAGTCTTTAACTTTAAACCCATAAACAACAAAATATGTTATCTACGTCTTAAAGAAAAATTCTTTAATTATAGCTTACTTAGTGTACACGCACCTACGGAAGAAAAGGAGGATAATGAAAAAGATGAATTCTATGACACCTTAGACAAAGAATATGATCGATGTCCACGTCATAACGTGAAAATCAATGCTGGGGACCTTATTGCAAAAATTAACAAAAAGCAATTTCTCCAGCCAGCTATAGGACGTGAGAGCTTATATAAGGAGTCAAATGATAACGGGTTGAGACTAATAAACTTTGCAAGTACTAAAAACATGATAGTAGGAGGAACAAGATTTCCTCATAAAATGATACACAAAGGAACATGGAAATCCCCTGATAACGAAACCATTAACCAGATAGATCACATCCTGATAGATGCAAGGTAATGGCAAAAATCAGAGGAAGAATATCAAACCTAAAGAAAGATAAACACACGAAACAAGACAGAATTAATGTTGATAATTTGCTCATTGAAACCGTTACGAGAGAGTATAGGAGACAAATGGACGAAGAAATGGAGAGCCTGGAGGTGGGGGAAAATGTAAAGGAACTGTGGACAAAATGAAAAAACATAATAACTGGGAAAGCAACAAAAATATTGGGCAAATCCAAACCAGTTAAAGAAAACGAATTGTTTGACAAGGAGTGCCAAGAAGCAACAGATAACAAAAACAGGGCATACCTAAAGACAAATCAAGCTGGATGCACAAGAAGAGCAAAGGAAGAATACCGGACACTAAGAAGAGAAGAAAAACGATTACATAGAAGCAAAAAAAGACAATTTGAGCAAAAGCAGTTGGAAAGCACAGAATGGCTAGGAAATCAAAATAAAACTCGAAAGTTCTACAGAAATCTAAACAAAATGAGCAGAGTTTAAGCCAAGAATAAGGAGCTGTAAGGATATAGAAGAAAACATCCTAAATGATACAGCCTCAATCCTAAACAGATGGGTTAAATTGTTCGATGCAAAATTTAATGGCCATCATATCGAAGAAGCAGATAACACTCTAGCAAATCAAAATGATTGGAATCCTTTCATCCCAAACGAAAGACCACCTACCATCGAAAACGGTGCCCAAGCCACTAAAAAGCATAAAAATAATAAATCACCAGGAGTTGACCAAATTTCCAGTGAGCTCTACAAAAATGGTGGCGATACCCTACTACAGACACTGCATAAGCTTTTACTTCTTGTTTGGCATAATGAGACCATGCCTTGTGAATGGTCTTAAGGCGTGATATGCCTGTAACATAAAAAAGGTGACCAGCTCCAGTGTAACAACTATAGAGGTATAACCCTGTTAACAACTGCGTACAAAATACTAGCAAATATTCTCTACGAAAGGTTGCAAGTTTACACAGTGGGCATAGTTGGAAAATATCAAGTTGGATGTACTCCAGAAAAATCAACAATTGATCAGATTCATTCAATAAGACAGATTCTTGAGAAAACATTAGAATTCAATATTGAAACCCGTCACCTATTCGTCGACTTCAAGGCCGCATACGACAGTGTCAAGAGAACAGTGCTATACCAATCAATGCATGAGTTTGATATACCAGAGAAACTTATCCGACTAACGAGAATGACAATGTCTAACTTAGAAGCCACTGTTAGAATACAGGGAGAGAGTTCTAGATCCTTTGAGATAAAGGATGGACTCAGACAAAGAGATGCTGGAGATGCTCTGGCTTGCCTTCTATTTAATATTGCCTTAGAAAAGGCAGTCCGAGATACACGAATTAGGGATGCCGGTACTATTTACAATAGATCGATACAAGTCTTAGCTTATGCTGATGACATTGACATAGTAAGGCGTAGCAAGCGAGATGTTGAGCAATATCTCCTAGAATTGGAAACAGTGGCGAAACAGATCGGTCTAGTCATCAACGAAGACAAAACTAAGTACATGTTGGTTACAAAGGATCCGATAGCAAATGAGGAAAGAGAAACAGTCTTTGGAAGTCATACTTTTGGACGTGTTGACAACTTCACATACCTTGGGTCGCTATTGACTGCTACCAATAAAACAAGCGAAGAAATCAAAAGACGAATAAATCTTACAAATAGGGCATACTATGGACTCCAAAATCATTTCCACTCAAGAAACATTCAAAGAAGAACTAAAATTATTATATACAAAACATTGCTGAGGCCGGTCCTCACATATGGAGCAGAAACATGGACTCTAAGGCAGAAAGATGAAAGAATTTTTTGAATATTTGAGCGTAAAATAATCCGCAAAATATTTGGAGCTGTAAACGACCAAGGGCAGTGGCGCAGAAGATATAATTTTGAATTGTATCAGCTCTTTGATGAGCCAGATGTCATAACGTTGATTAAAACACAGCGACTTAGATGGGCTGGACACATAATACGAATGCCAGAAAATACCATTGCTAAAAAGCTAACCACAGGAACACCTGTAGGAAAAAGAAGCGAAGGCCGCCCCTAAATTAGGTGGTTAGGTGGAGTAGAAACCGACTTACGAATATCAAAAATCAGAAGATGGCAACATGTTGCCAAAAACCGAACAGAATGGCGACGAGAATCTTAGAGCAGGCCAAGATCCACAGAGCATTGTCGAGCCAAAGATGATGATGAGTTCGAAATCCAGGTTCCTAGGTATTTGTATTTATCAACCCTTTCTATCGGTACATTTCCCAAATGCATGTGTGTTGGTATATTTGTTTTCTTTGTTATTCTTTGTTATATCATGTATTTGGTCTTTTTTATATTCATTTTTAGTCCATATTTTTCACAGAAATTGTTTTGTTTAGCAGTAATTGGAATTATTTAGCAGAGCTTACCATAATCACGGTGTCATCTGCATATCTTATATAGTTAATAGATCTTCCGTTAATTATTATTCCTTTACTTTGAGATAGTAATGCTTTTGCAGTAAGGTTTTATACCCTACTCTATATAACAAGATAAGTATGTCAAAGCAATCTTAGTTAATTTTAAATATGCCCCCAAAAAGTGATATTTGGATGAATGCATTGCACTGTGCATGCATTGTACGCGTAAATTAATTTCATTTCCTGAAAGTATTCACCATTGTAGGTAGTCACCTACAAAATCTTATGAACCTGACTCACTCATTGGGAGACATTAGTCTACGAACGATATGATGTAATAGGAGATAACTGAAAACAATTAATTGTCTTCAGTGCATTCTCGCAGCAACGCAGAGTCCTAGTTTTTGCATTAATAAAATAGTTGGAGTACTAATTTATTGTTTTTATGCTAACAGTCGTTTATAAAACTTTATATTGACAAAACAAAAACTGGCAAATAACCGAATTCAGTTAATAAAGACTAGTTTATACACGCTAATAGTTGATAGTGCGTCAGATCAAAGTACGAAAAACTGGATACCTTGACCATATTCTGAGAGCAAAAATACGCAATCCCTCAACTAATCATCCAGGAAAAGATTGAAGGCAAGAGAGGAGTAGGTTGCAAACAAATGTCGTGGCTACGGAATATAAAAATTGGGCAGGCATAAATAACTCTGGCGATCTTTTGCATTCGCCAACGCACTATAGGTGCACGGCACTATAAGAAGAAGAAGCGTCAGTAAAATAAGATGTATAAACAGTTACTGACGTGTTGTGGCGAGCAAG